GTGTTTATGTGGGCGTGGTGGAGGTCAGGCCTCGCGTGCGTTCCAACATTCAACGAGAGAGAGCATCGCCGCTCGCTTGTGTTGCTCGAAGCCGATGCATGGCAGACTGCACGATGGTAGTTTTGTCTTCTGCGTTGTCGGAGTGGACGTGGCAGCGCCCACCGACGAAGGGTGGGCTGTCGACGAATATATCGTTGAGCGGATGTGGATGCGCGCAGCGTGGCAGAATGGCAGCCTTCGGCAATGCGTTTTCACAATCCTGAAGAAGCCAGTTCCAGACGCTGCGCCTGTATTCGCAGACATTCATGAACGTCAGCTCGCATCGAGCTGGGAATGGGTCGCGCAGTGCATGATCATGGGCAGCCTACGTCAAGACATCACATGGTATGCGCGCGTCCTCGAGATCAACTCGTCGAGCAGCGTGGTGGGCACCATGGGCCCGAGCGGTGTGGGCATCATCGGCGCTCGCCTCTCTGATGGGTCCGTGGCGACCTCGTGCTTCTGGGGCGGCATCGACGGCTACGCCGACGAGGGCGACGAGTCGAGTGCGACAGGAAGCCCCGTGGAGGAGGGCCATGCCGTGATGGCGGCGGTCGTGGAGGCCGAGGCCGGTGCTTGAAATGCTCGGGCGGACGCTCGCAACCTACTCGACCCCCAGCCCCTATGACGTATTGGACGGTGCGTCAGGGGTTTGGGGTCTGAAGTGGTGATTTGCGAGCGTGCGATTTGGCGTTTCTCGAAGGGGTCGGCCCACCTGCAGGGCGAGGTGCGGGCGAGGCGGAACCAGTGGGGGAGTTTCCAGAGGCGGGCGGCAGCCGTGGCTGCGCCGGGAGGAGCGCGGACACGGACGACCTCAGCGCCTGAAGCGGCATCGGGGACGACCCACCCCTTGCCTGAGCTCGCAGGTTCAGACTCTGACATGTTTATGTCGTCTGAATTTCGCAAAAATTCGGGCGGGGGCCAAAAGGGTGAGCTTGAGCCAGGGTCGGACGATGAATTCAGTGCACCGTCCTCGACGCGCGGGTTACCAGGGGCTGGCTGGCAGGAGCTGGCGTTCGGCAACAAGGAGGATGTGCTGTTTGGCCCAGAGCCTGAGCCCTCGAGCATCGCTTCAGGGGCGGCCTCGACCGGGCATGGTGGGCAGGGCAGCGGCGAACCAGACCTGCCGCGACCTCCGCCGCCACATCCAGAGCCAGTTTATGGAGGTCATCGGGCGACTGAAGGAGATGGCGTCATCACCTTGCGTCTTGACGGGAACGACAGTATCAAGTATTGCGAGTTTCTAGATGAGTTTGTTGATCCGTGTGGACGTCATGGTTGCTGATTGCCCAGGGTCGGATATGCTGGCTCCCAGGCTGCACAGGGCCGACCTCTCGGATCCATGTTGTGGTGGTTGGAAAACAAACACGGCAGTGAAGCAAATCACTTGGGGCGGAGGTGGTCGTTCATCCCTGGCGACCCGCCGGCCCGCCCTTTCGACCTGCCTCGGGGTGCGACAGGGAGGAATTCTCTGTATGGAAAAGGCATGGGGGAGGCGGAGCAGCGGGTGGAGAATCAGGAGGGGAAAAACACACAGACACAATTAATCGTCCACCCCCAGGAAAATATAGGAACATATGGGAAGTGGGGGGAAGACAAAAACCCAGAAAAGATGGGGACATAGGGGGAATCTGGTTATTTGTGTGTATTTATTTGTGTGTCCCAGGGCCCTTTCAAGGAGGTCCAGAGGTCCAGAGACCGAAGCGGCCACAGTTGGCACCCTCCATGGGCAGCCCGCACTCCGCGCGGGCTCCGTAGGAAACCCGCCTGGCCCCGCGGGCCAGGCTCGACTATACGTAAGAGTGACCTTTCGCGGAGTGGCCTTTGGTGCGGGCACAGATGGGTCCCCAGATGGCTGAAAACGAAGCGGTAGCAGCGGCTTGCGCACCCAGGTTTGGTCTCCCCGCGGCCCCCCCAAAACCGCGCACCAAAGGTCACTCTTACCCAGGGTCACTCTTGCGTGTAGCCGACAGGCCCCGAGCGACTGCCCACATAGGATGAGGATGGCTTGGCTTCGTTATCCAGTCGGCGAGGGTGGCGGCGCCGCGAGGGCGCGGCGAGTCTCACCACCCACCAAACCACTTCAACCCAACCCGAAGGCCCAGATTTACCCTCGATTTCTAGTGGGGGGGGTCCGGGAACATCGAAAAAACACATATGGAACCCATACCCCCCCAACCCGAAATTCGGGTCTTCGGGTTGGGTTGGGGTGGTCTGGTAGGTAGTCAGTTATCCAGTCGGCGAGGGTGGCGGCGCCGCGAGCGCGCGGCGAGTGCGACTTGCGCCCATTTGTGCCAAGGGGCCTCGGCGCAGTGGGCGTCGCGCTGCTTGCCAGGGCTCGCGCGACCCTGCGGACGGAGATGTTCTGCATGATAATCAGGTGTGAGGATGAGGAGGAGGGGGAGGGGGAAGGGTGCTCGCTCCTCCGCTGTTCCCTGCCCTGCCTCGCGCCAATCTGAATATCGTGGTCGCCGCGCGGTTTTTCATAACGAGGCACGAAGAGGCACAGCGTGCGGCGTCATGGGGACGAGGCGAAGAGGAAAGGGCGGGAAACTTGGTCATGCCGGCGGTTTCGGGATGGAACGGCAAACAGCAGAAGGAGGAGGATTCGGAGGAGGATTCGGATTCGGATTCGGATTCGGATTCGGATTCGGATTCGGATTCGGATTCGGAGGAGGAGGAGGAGGAGGAGGAGGAGGAGGAGGAGGAGGAGGAGGGTGAGGAGGACGGAGAGGAGGAGGAGGAGGAGGAGGAGGAGGGAGGAGGAGGAGGAGGAGGAGAGGAGGAGGAGGAGAGGAGGAGAGGTGGAGGGGAGGAGGAGGATGAGGAGGAGGAGGGAGGGGGAGGAGGAGGAGGAGGAAGAGGAGGAGGAGGAGGAGGAGGAGGAGGAGAGGAGGAGGAGGAGGAGGGAGGAGGAGAGGAGAGGAGGAGGAGGAGGTGAGGGAGGGGAGGAGAGGAGGTTGAGGAGGAGGAGGAGGATTAGGAGGGAGGAGGAGGAAGAGGGGAGGAGGAGGAGGAGGAGGAGGAGGGGAGGTCTTACGCTTCGGGGTGCGCGCCCAGGGCCTGCCGAAAAGGAGAGGAGAAGAGGAGGAGGAGGAGTAGGAGGAGTAGGAGGAAGAAGAGGAAGAGGAGGAAGAGGAGAGGAGGAAGAGGAGGAGGAGGAAGAGGAGGAGGTGGGGGAGGAGGAGGAGAGGAGGAGGAGGAGGGGAAGGAGGAGGAGGAGAGGAGGGAGGAGGAGGAGAGAGGAGAGGAGGGGGAGGGGGAAGGGGGAGGGGGGGGGGAGGGGGAGGAAGGAGGAGGAGGAGGAAGAGAGGAGGAGGAGGAGGAGGAGGAGGAGGAGGAGGAGGATGTTCTTTGGGAGCAGGAGCAGGATCAGAGTGAACAGGAGCACCAGATCGGCGATGGGTGTGCGAGAAGCGCTCGCAATGAAGTCGTGCGACACTCGCGAGCCCAATGAGAAAGGTGGCAGTGGGACTCTGAACCGGGAGGCCGTGGTGGAGGGCTGGAGGCATTCCAGTCCTGGCCCAGCGGGGGTCGACAGCAATGCCTCCGCGCGCTCCCGCCAGGGGGTCCGGTCTCCTGGGCCCCTATGCGCGGCGCGACGGGGGTCAGATCCGCCCCGTCGGTGCACCGTGGGCGGGGGCATGGGTGTTCCTTCAAGGCGCAGCAAGCTCTGCTCGCGACGAGGGTAGATTTTCGGCTGTCCGCGGGGCTGGCGCGCCACCCCTGCCCCCCGCGACCCGCTAGACGGTGTGTTGGCGACTTCGTGGGCCGTTTTCGTTGTGGTCTCGTTTTGCGGCAAAGGCGGAACGAAGACAAAACAAGCGGAAACGAAAACAAGCTCGAGTCCTGGAGGAACGGCCAAAACAAGCGGAAACGAAAACAAACGGAAAGAAAAGCCCAAACAAGCGGAACGGAAAACACTGTTTAGCTCGAGCCCTGGATAGTGAAGCTCAGAGATGGTGCCGCTGGGCAGTGTCCTCGCGTCACCGCCAGCGCTGAGGGCGCCCGCACGCTGGGATGTGCATGGGCATCGAGGAGGGGGAGGAGGAAGCGGATGGGAAGCATGTGCCCGTATGATTAGGTGTGCGCGTGCGCGCCCGCCGCTTCGACAGCGGCGCGGTCGCCCCATCGCCGCAGATCACAAGAGTCCTTTGGATTTCATATTTATCAAAGGGGGAGGGGTTCACAACTCTCCAAGACGCGTTAGACCCCCCCAGACCAGCCATGAAACGGCGGCCTCTTGCCCAGAACCCCCCGAACCCTCCGAGACAGCTCGAATCAGATTCCCCAAATCAAATCACCTCACATTTATGGTGACCTCCGCAGTGCATGTCTGGATTCTTTCCCGTTTGCTCGGCCTGATAGTGCCGTTCATTTCCAGTGCGCGCCTTCGGTGTACGTACGTGTCACATTCTCAGGACCCCGTGGTTGATCCGAGCCTCGGCTTCGGTCGAGCATCACCTCCGCGCGTCTTGGGGAAGCGTGCCTGCGTGTCTGTGCGTGGGTGGCGCCATACCGTCAATTGGGCTCCAAACCTCGCCTCACCTTTCGAAGGGCCGACACCATGGGAGGATGCATGCCTGGACTTGCTGGTCCAGTGAGGCAGTGGCACCCGCGGGCGCCGAACAGAAAAGCGCGTGTGTTAACGCCCGCAGGGAGGGATTGCCCTCCCTCCGTTTCCCGCCCTCCGCGTTCGCTCTCCGCCTTCGTCTCTCTCTTGCTGCTGGACGGTCCGTGCGGGCCTGGGCGCGGCCCACTGGAGCGCGCGTGCGGATCGCCTCTGCCGCGCTGCGACGGCAGAAGTGTCTACGCCTGCGTGTCGCGAGCCGAGCCCAGCGGTGTCTCCGTGCCGCCGTGCCTGGCACGGAGGGGGAGGAGGAGGAGGAGGAGGAGGAGGAGGAGGAGGAGGAGGAGGAGGAGGAGGAGGAGGAGGAGGAGGAAGCGAGCTGGTCCCGCAGGTGTTGTTCGCCTACGCGGTCTTCACGCTGTTTGGGCTGATCCGGCAGCCGTACACGTGCTCCTGGCTGGTCGTCCTCCTCGCCGCGCTTGGCGGCCACCGCCTCGGGACTCGGTTCCTCCTCTCCCCTTCTCCTCCTCCTTCCCTCCTTTCGTCCCTCTCTCTTTTCTTCCTCCCCTCCCCTCCCTCCCTCCCTCCTCCCTCCTCCCTCCTCCCTCCTCCCTCCTCCGTCTTCCATCCTCTGTCTTCCCTCCTTCCTCCTCCTCCTCCTCCTCTTCCTTTTTACGTTCGACCAACAGAAGCCTCAGGGCTGTTGCGTTCTGAAAGAGGGCAGGTCATTCAACAACCGACGTGGCGACGAGGTACTGGCAAGTCCACCTGGCAGGCGCCGCGGCAGATGAAGGAAAGCGAGTACGGCGGAGAGCAGGAGAAAAGAGTAGGCGCCTGCCAGGTGGTGAAACTCGGCTATCCTGGCCTTCGTATGCCACCGATTCCCCAAATCGGAATTCCCTGGCACTTTGCCACAGATGATGCTCGAGCTTCCCTGGGCGTTGCAGTTCAGCCAGTCGGCCCCCCGCCGCCGCTGCCGCAGCTGCTGCCTCTGAGGGCTGGCCCGGCCGGCTCGCGCTGCGCCTTGCAGCTAATTAGGCTTGCCCGTTGGCCCGGACACCCTGCTCGCCGCCTGCGCTTTCGCTTGCGGCCGCGACCAAAAATGCCACCGATTCCCACCATCTCAGCCCCCCCCCATATTCGGTGTAGGGTAGTCGAGCAAGTGCAAGGCCTGCCAGCTGGCCCAAAGGATGCCAGCAGGAAAGGTAAGAGTGCACTGTATCTTTAGGGGGCCACGTGTGAACCCTACCCCTACCCTCACGATTTCTGAGGGGGAGGGTGGGGTAGGGTTCGCATGTGGCCTCCTAATCTTATGCTTGGTAGATTTGGTAAATACAGGGGCACCAGTGCGGGGCTGGCACAGGCGGTGCTGGCTGGCCCAGGTGCACTTTTAGGGCTGCTACTCGTACATGCTAGTCGTAAGTCGGGCCTGTCCCTCTACAGGGGGAATCTTCAAACATAGTTCCAAAATAGTCTGGGGACTTTCTTTTTTTTTGGGGGGGGGAGTTCTCTCTTTTTTGTTTGTTTGTGTTTTTGCCATTTTGGGGTATTTGTGAGGGTATTTCTCACTTTTCGTCGAAGATCCCCCTGTAGGGGGACAGGCCCGACTTAAGGTTAGTGAGAGAATCCTCCTACTCCTCCTCCTCACCCCCACCTCCGAGCGGCTTGAGATACAGCGGAAAATGAAAGTGCCCTCACCGAGGGTCGTGCCGCGAGCAACGCCCTAATGCGCGCTAAATGCCCTTCCTCACCTCACCTCCAACCACCCCTCTCCACCCTCCATCAACACCCCCACACCACCTCCACATCTACTGTGACCCTCGCCGAGGGCAGCCAGAACAATGAAGATCGTAAAGTTGCGATGCATCGGCTGATCTTCATTGGTGCGACGTGTCTTACCGAATTCATGAAGTACTGGCAGACTTCTGACTCATTGAATTGTTGGGTCGACTGCTCCGCCACTACCACTGGCCCCCACCCTCCACCTCCACCTCGTCCAAGATGCCCTCACCGAAGGTCGAAAGCAGCGGCGCAACATGTTCGTCAAAGTTGCCGCCCAAAATTTGCCTGGCGAAGGACCCAACCATATGCAGTTGTGAGCACCGTCGTTGTATGCAACGCATTCGGTGGAGCTCCCTAAGGAGCTACCAAACGTGTGAGGGGTGTGCCCAAATGGGTGCAGTGGGTGCATGCGAACGCTGCAATGTGGGCCTTCGGGCTCCCTGTGGGGCCACGAAACGTGGGAGGTGTGTGTGTGTGTGCCAAAATGGGTGCGGTGGCAGCATGCGAACGCTGGTATTTGGGCTTTCGGTGGGGCTCCCTGTGGGGCAACGGAACGTGTGAGAGGTGTGCCAAACTGGGTGCGCTGACCGCATGCGAACGCTGGCATTTGGGCCTTCGGTATGGCTCCCCGTGGGGCAAGAAACGTGTGAGGGGTGTGCCAAAATGGGTGCGCATGCGAACGCTGGCATTGGGCCTTCGGTGGGGCTCCCTGTGGGACCACGAAACGTGGGAGGTGTGTGTGCCAAACTGGGCGGTGGCCGCATGCGAACGCTGGCATTTGGGCCTTCGGTGGGGCTCCCTGTGGGGCAACGAAACGTGTGAGAGGTGTGCCAAACTGGGTGCGGTGGCCGCATGCGAACGCTGGCATTTGGGCCTTCGGTGGGGCTCCCTGTGGGGTCGCGAAACGTGTGAGGGGTGTACCAAAATGGGCGGTGGCCGCATGCGAACGCTTGCATTTGGGCCTTCGGTGAGGCTCCCTGTGGGGCCACGGAACGTGAGAGGGGTGTGCCAAACTGGGTGCGGTGGCCGCATGCGAACGCTGGCATTTGGGCCTTCGGTGGGGCTCCCGATGGGGCCACGGAACGTGTGAGGGGTGTGTCAAAATGGGCGCGGTGACCGCATGCGAACGCTTGCACTTGGGCCTTCGGTGGGGCTCCTTATGGGGCCACGAAACGTTTGAGGGGTGTGCTGAAACCTGAAACCCTTGATGACGATGATGATGATGATGATGATGATGATGATGATGATGATGATGATGATGATGATGATGATGATGATGATGATGATGATGATGATGATGATGATGATGATGATGATGATGATGATGATGATGATGATGCTGCTGATGATGATGAGATGATGATGATGATGATGATGATGATGATGATGATGATGATGATGATGAGATGATGATGATGAGATGATGATGGATGATGATGATGATGATGATGATGATGATGATGATGAGAGGAGGAGGGAGGGGGCAGCGGGAGGATGAGGAGTGAACGCAGGGACCGTCTATTCAAAACGAGGACCCAATACCACAGGATTGTTGGGAACAAATCCCATATATCCTCAGCAAGTGTGGGCACAAGAGGGCTTCATAGGTGAATTTGCTCAACGTATTTTCTGAAACTCGACGCGCTCAGCGAAGGCGCTGTGACAATGAGACTGCTGCTGAATTGTGCGCAGCTCCTCCCAGTGCGGCTGCAGGCGTGAGACGATACAGCATCAACGTGCCGAGTCCTCATTTGTCAAGACTCGCGAGCGCCAGCTGGATTCTCAAAAGCGGCCCGAGGAAACGTGCATTGCAGCCAATGTCGTGCCATGGCTGCTGGTCTTGATTCACCCTGAAAGCGATACGCGTGCTGCTGTCACATCCGAAGCTACGGGCAGAAGCGGCTCTCGATCCCCCCTTGAAAGCGGCACGCGTGCTGCTGTCGTTCAGAGCGTGGCGTCCGGCGGGCCCCGTCGCGTGGCGACAGCCAAACCTCCCTCACCAACCATAACTTCCTCCTCCTCCTCCTTCAGCGCCGAGGGCCTGCTCCCCCCGCACTGACCCGCAGGGACTTGTACTCAAAAGGTAGCGAGCCTTTCTTACGGGGCCACCTCGGAGCTTACCCCTTGAAGCTCCGGGGTATTCCCCCTGCTGGCCCTAGTGAGAAGTCAGGGCCGTTGCACAAGCAAGTCGCAGGGGATTTTGCCAGACGCGCGCAAGGCACCAGTCTAGGTATGTTGACGTTGACCCTCTTATGCGGATGTCTTGCCCTGTCCTCCAACGCCGGAGCACCAGCGCAGCGGCAGCTCTGTGCTGGCGGGAGCGCGGGCTTGAGCGCGCGTTGGCCAAGCAATTGCAATGTTCGGCACGCGTGAGCACATGCGTGCGACGAATGACAAAGCAAAGGCAAAACAGAAGACGGATTGAGTGATGTGGATGCAGCAAATGCACAGTACATTAGATGCTACCGGCTGTTTTCTCGAAGTTCCGCGTGAGCGGCGATAGCAAGGTAATGGGTGATCTGACAATGCATACGTATGGCTTCCAGGTAAGATGCACGGAGTTGTTCAAACGATGTCCGAGGATCCAACACTATGTCCTCCAATTTGCCAATTGCTTCAAAATTTAGTTCCTCCGTATTTTGCCCATGGTATTGAAGAGTATCCTCGTCCTCATCGTCATCAAAGTGTGGCAACTGAGATGTTGAAGAAGCTGCTTGACTGTCATCATTGTCACCACCAAGCCAAGCATGGTCGTCTTCTACAGTCGTGTCGCCTATCTTGAGGCTTCTGCCTGTGTCGTAGGTCAGATATGCTCAAGGAGTGCCAATGCGTGCTGACCGTCTTGGTGCTAACTCCTTGAAACTAAATCGCTTTTGTTATTTCTTTGGAGTCAAGGTATTGAGTCGTATCTACAATTCGGGGTCGTTTTGTTCGCTGCCAAGGATTTGTTGTGAGAGCGTCAAGACATGATCGGAACAGTCAAAGCTTGCGCCGCTATTATCATAACCTTTGCCATTGATGTGCTTTTTTTCCTGGAGCTACACTGGCCCGTAATTATTGTGTCATGACTCGTTGCTTTCCTTTCGTGGTCTTTCTTGACAACGATTGTGTCGGTAGCTTCGGGGTCCGCCCTTCCGCGGGTTCCCCCAGGTTGCACAGCAACCCGACCCCCAGTGGAGTCATTCGAGACATGTAGACTAAAGTTTCTGAAGGCTGCAATCGCAAAGTGTCAAACGTATTGTCTGTTTTGTCCTTGTCGAGTCGGGGAATGTGATCTGGGGCTGGAGCAACGATGCCTATAGTAGGGGTGATAGCAGGCAAGATCAATCGCTTTGACCACGAAGGGTCAATGTTGTCCTTGTGGGCACTTCACTGAAAGAACGTTCTGATTTGATTTATAGCAGGCTGTGTTCTCAAAATGTGAGTGCGCCTGTCCCGCTGCCGTGACTCTTGATTGTCGTGCCAACTTGAATCAGGATATTGCCAACATGAATCAGATGGGCCATCCCATGGCTGCCAATTGTACGGATTGTGCTGCCGAGGGTCCCGATTGTTGTCGTTGCTCTGCCATGCGTTTCGGGGTCAACATTCCACTGAGTGCTCGAATGGGTGCTGTCACCAGGTCGCTCTTTGGCTGAGGACGTAAACATCGCGCGTGCAGAAAGAGCCATCGTGCACATGAGCGAACGTGTAGGTGAGTGTTTGA